GTTAAGGCCACTTTAAAGTTCGTTAGATGTTGGCAGGTGCTGAGCTCTGGCTTCTGCAGCAGGTTCCTCAGGCAGCATGAGCCCAGCTGAGCCCTTAGCCACGTTAGCCTGTGGGAACCAAAGGGGGTGGGTTTTTTTTTGCCTATAAGTCTCTGACCCTTCCCACCGACTCTCTAACCTCGGCCCATCCAGAACACGCACTCGCAGTCCTGCCTGAAGTCCTTCCTGGAGTGTCACGGCTTGTCCCTCCTCTGGATTTGGATGACGGAGCTGGGCGATGGCAGAGGGAGCACCGCGAACAACCTGAAGTTGCAGCTGGAGGTCAGTAGTGCCCTCGGGTTTGGAGCTCTCCTAGCAGCGCTGCTAACTGCTCACAAGCAGGATGGGTTTCCTTTTTTTGTGTGTGTGTTACCGTACGTGAAATATGCCAAGTGTTCATGAAAGCCAACTGCAGGGATCCTTGCGACTGCAGTGTGAAGCTTCTGCTTTAAGGGAGATCCTTAGTATATGGCAAGGATTTGCTCGTGTGGTTTTTCTTTGATTTCTGGGTTAGTGACATGAGCCAGCCTTAAACACAGGTCCTGTTTATTCCGTTGCCGTTTATTCCGTACCAAACCGCAGAGGGAACTGGAGGTAGTGACAGTCTGAAGTGGACTTTGAATATTTCTGTTTTCTGCGTGCGCTTCGGCAGCACGTGCCAAAAGATACCTGGAAGTTCCTTTATTAAAGGCGCTTCTCTGAGAAGGTCGCTGTGCCGTGGAGAGGCCCACGTGGTCCTGTGTCCCGAGGAATAAAGCAGGAGCCACGTGAGCTCTAGAGCCCAGGGCGTCTCTTCTCCTCCTGACTTCTCCTTTGTTTTTCAGACAAACCTGCTTCAGGATTCCTTAGCTCACCTGTTTTTTTCCCCAAGCTGATACCTTCAGGATTCCTTAGCTCACCTGTTTTTTTCCCCAAGCTGGTGCTTTCCATTTCTGAAGGAGTCGTCTCCTACTTGTGCCTTTCTCCTCTTTGACACCCTGGGTTCAGGTGGCCCCTCTGAGAAACGGGCTCTGTTGGTATCCAGAGAGGAAGAGCTGCCTGCGTGGGCTTTTGTGAGCCTTCAGCTCCTGCAGTGGGATGAGGATAGTGAAGGCTTTGGGAGCCCAGCTCGGTAGGAGGCCTAATGAGATGGCTTCAGTGCCGCTGGTGGCGAGAGGGGCAGCAGATCTGTCCGCTCCGCAGCGTCACCTGTGGGAAGGCCACCACTTCCACCGCCTGGTCCTCATCTGTCCTTCCTTAGGCAAAGTTTGGGCTGTAGATACCTGGAAAACGTCAGCGCTGGTGGGTTGGGAGGCTCTGCTGTTGCGTTAGAGCTTGCTGTCTCGTCGGCTTTGGGGAGACCTGCCCGTACTTCGCCTGCCTTGCGCCGTGCCGAGCGTTTTGTTGCTGACGGGCACCAGGCAGGGATCCAGCGGGTGCCTCCAGTTTCCTCTCCGGCTGGTGGGATGTGGCTTTTCCGGACTTCGAGCCAAAGCAGGAGTGCTTGATGGCCGCCGAGTCAACGTTCCTCTCGCCTCGGTGCGTCCCCCGCCGCTGTGGCTGTACGGGGAGGCACTCCTCACGAGGCTACGGGGGGATCTAGGGAGACCAAATCTGCGGGGACTGAGTCAATGTGTGGCAGTAACTGCTCTTGGGGAGGGAGCTGAGCTGTTCCCCGTTGGGACTGCAGTATTGTCGTCCTTGGGGTAGGTAGGATCCATCCCACTGGACGCGTGTTGGAAACCGGTGCCCCGAGGGAGTCTCAGGTGTGGATTTTTGCACACGTGGTGCCCGTCCTCCTCGCTGCCGATGCCATGGCGGTGCAAAGCTGCTGGGGAGCTTGCTGCCGACTCCTCTCTGACCTCTGGCTTTGGAGGAATCAATGGTCGGGTTAAGGTTAGACTCAGTTTTTCCGCTGGAATGGATTCAGACACTCAGTCGCGTTGATCTCAAACCCAGAGCTGCTCCCCCCAGGCCTTGAGAGGGAAACTGATGCTTCTTTCTCTGCCCGTGACGCCTGTTCCTACCGACGGGTTTTGTAAAAGGATTTTGAAGAGCTTTTCAGGCTTCAGGCACAACCCAGCTGAGGCCAAGCTTTTTTGGCCGGTCTCCAGGGGAAAACACCATAGCCTGAGCTGTGCTGTGGTTTCTGCCGCTGCGTTGGCTTCGTCATCAGGTACCTTTGGGGGCTTCCCGGTGTCTAAAGGAGGATTCCTGTTCCTGGGAGTGCCTTGTTGGGCGCTGGAAGTGCGTGGTGGCGCTGGGAGTGCAGGTGCGAGCGCAGCCACGTTTTCTGGCGGGATTAAATCCACTGGAAGTGCCGTCAGTGTCAGAGATGCTCGCCCTGGCTCGTGGTTTGGAGGCCTGAAGGACGCTCCCCAGTCGCACGTACCTCTTGGTGCTTAAGGTTTAGGCCCACCAGCAGCAGGCTGCCTCCCTCCCACTGACACTGGTGATGCTCCAGCTTCTGCCGCAGCGCAGGGCGCCTCTGTCAGGTGAGGGGAAAGCTTTTTTTGTCTCGGTTTGCAGCTTTTTTGGGTTGGTCTCTTCTGTTTTGCCTGCTGGTACACCTTGACGTTTCTGATCAGGTTTTCTTTCCTGTAGCCCGTCTAGCTGCTGTATCGTCGCACTGGTTGCCCTAGGAGTGGGTATGGCCACTGTTAACGCGTCCAGGCTCTTTGAAATCGGTTTAATTGCAACTCATTACTGAATTTGTTTAATTGCTGAATACTTGTGCTCACTGTTTTCCACCCGCTCGCGGCTGATTTGCTCTCAGCAGAAGTTGAGACGGGAGGCCGCTGTCCCTGACCCGTGACCTGTCCCCCTCATGCTGATGTTTCGCAAGTTGCCTCTCGTTGGGAAAGGGAAATTGCTCCAGGTTGGAGACGGCTTGAAATCCCAGTGGCTCTAACAATGTGGTTTTTGTCTTGGCAATTAGATAATGAAGACGCTAGAGCTCCTGCCTATACCCACCAAGAACATGCTGGAGGAGAGCAAAGTGCTTCCCATTATTCAGCGCTGGGCTCAGACCAAGACCGCTGTCCCGCAGCTCAGCGAAGGCGATGGCTACTCGAGCGAGAACACCTCGCGGGCTCACACGCCGCTCAACACCCCGGATCTTTCCACCAAGCAGAGCGCGGAAGGTGACACGGACACCCCCAAGAAGCTGGTCTTCCGAAGGCTGAAGATTATCAGTGAGAACAGCATGGACAGTGCCATCTCGGATACAACCAGCGAGCTGGAAGGGAAGGAGGGCAAAGAGGACCTGGACCAGCTGGAAGGTGCCCCGATGGAGGGGTCAGAGGAGCAGCAGCCGCAGCAGCAGGAGATCAAAGCTGCCGTCGACGCGCCGGTGGAGAGCAGCAAACCCCAAGCTGCAGAGCTGGAGGCTGAGCCTGAAGCAGAGGTGAAAGAGAGCAACGGCGCGAAGCTGGAAGAGCCCATTACGATGGAGACGCCCTCTCAGGACGAAGAGGAAGGCGTATCCGATGTTGAGAGCGAAAGAAGCCAAGAACAAACGGACAAAATTGTGGACGTGAGCGATTTGGCTACGAGGCTGCTCGACAGCTGGAAGGAGCTCAAGGTAAGAGGCACCCACCTGCCGCGACGCCGCCTCTAAGGAAAAGGCGGAGTTGTTGGCGGTTCCGTGCAAACGGGGCCACCTTCTTGTCCTGTTGGGAAGTGGTTGACAACGAGATGGCCTGGTCTAGGCAAAAGGGCTTCTCCAGGTGCTTTCTCCGTACGGCCTTTCGTTGCAAACTGCCCCGTTCCGTGCCTCGCAGTAGGTTTCCGGGTGTCGCTGCGTTGCCCGCTGAAAACAGCGGGTGGTTCAGGTTGGGCGCCGCAAAGACACCTCAGTCATCCAGTTGTTTAGGCTGTTCAGGGGGAGGGCAGCCCTAAGGGATTGAGATTCCCTTCTCAGCTGATGAGGCAGCGCCACCAGCGTATTTGGTTGAACTGGCCCAGTACCTGTCAGTGTTGGAACGAAATGACTGACTGTCTGCTTCTAAATTCAATGATCACGACATGGTCAGCGTTTCCTCTCCTGTTAACATCTGCTTTTCACCTGCAACGTGTAGAGCCTCCAGAACCTGGTCTGTTGGCCCCGCTGCGTTCTCTCAGTCGTGGCAGTGCTGGGTTCATCTCTGGGTGTTTGCAGCTGGTGTTTAGATCGGGTAAATAATTTGTGGGTGTTATTTGAGCCGTTAAAGACCGCTAGAGCATGCAGCTGCTCATGGTTTCACTCCCATTGAGGGCTTCCTCGAGCAGATAACCTCTTTAAGAGAAGGGTGGGGTGGCTGCAGGCTGCCTGCTCTCCTCTCGAATCCCCGCGCAGCGCAGGTGGCGATTTGGCCACTCGGTCTTCGGCCGACGGCTTTTTTTTTGGTGGGACGTAGAATGACGTTTCAGTAACTCGCCACTCAATGCTCCAGGCGTTTCCTGGGGTTTCTTGAGGCGTTTGGAAACTCCTCGCCCATCTGCTGCTGCTGTAGGATTCTATTCCTTCTGTTGTATCCGAGAGCGAGAGGGGTGGGAGCCTTGAAGTTGCTTTTACACTCTAGTAAGTGTAAAAGCAGCATTTGCTGAGCATCCAGCAAAGGAGTCGAAGGTGCTGCCGTGCTTCTGGCGTGGTGTGGGCTTGGTGGAGAAGGTCGTGGAGGGTCTCCTGCCCTTCTCTTGATCAAGCATCCACCCGCTTTTAATTCCTGGAAGTAGTCCTTAAGCAACTCCGTGTTTTGCGATGCATCGTATAGCTGAAAGAGTTTATCTGCCCGTTGAATTTGGTGATGAGTAACGGCTTAGAAGAGGCCAAGGAAAGTAACGGGTGTTGGGCGCTCTGCGGCGCCCCGTGCAGGTGGAGGGGACCAGAGCCAGCTCGGAGTCCGTGAACCTTTGCTCGTTCCGTTCAGCGACCGTAGCTCCCGACATCAGCATTTATAGAGCGTACCTAGAGATTTATACAGAAAACTTAAGGGAAACCTTACCTTAATCCCTGAATTTTTCAGAAGAATCAGATACTCTTGAACATTTGCAGACTTTGAGCATAATCGTTTGTGCCCTAAGTCTTAGTGGGAGAAGGGGTGAGGCTTTCCTGTACCAACAACTCAAATACGTTTCTATAGAGAAGTTAGGGCGCGTTTCTTTCCCCCCCCTCCCCTCTTTACCGAGCGGGTCTGAGCGTTTCCTAGATTTTCTTAAAATTTGTGTGGGCCTCACGATTTTCTTCAGTGAAGCGACACTGTCAGGTTGGATTTCTGGTTGGATTGAAACAAAAGTCCTTTCCCAGCCGTTGCTGATACCTGGGGTCGTTTAAACTGAAAGCAGAGTCAGGTCTTAGTCCCGCACAGCTTTGGAGGGGACTTGCTTTGGGCTGCTCTGGCTCAGTTTTCTGTTAGTGCCCAGACGTGTTCGCTTCCAGGGTCACGTGCTGCGGTGTTTAAAGTTGAAACGACCCAGAAAAAGACCTCGAAAACCGCTAATGAAAAGCGTGAAGTTTCGCAAACCGAGTGACTCCTCCGAAACGTGGGTGTGAGACCAAATTTGATCTGACAGTGTCATCGCCACGGCTTGTGCTTCCCTTTGAGCTTGGAGGAGCTCAGCCGTGGGGATCTAGAGACCTTCGCTGAAGCCCGTGGGCAGGCTGTGGGGTCAGGAGTTGCTGTTTAGGACGTGGATTCACGTCCTCTCTGGGTACTTAATTAACCTCAGGTCGTTGCCAGGGTGCTGATAGCCTGATGCAGCACGTGTGTCTGCTCGTAGGGGTGGGGTTGTACCTCACAAGTCTAGTTGTGTAGTAATCCCAGCAAATACCGACCCAAAAAAAAAGCAGACTCATGCCATGGGTCGGTGAAAACTCCCTTCTGTCCTGTAAAGCATTTGTGGGGAGGCTGTGACCCGGGGATTCGTTCTGTCCTGGACTTGGTCATGGCACTAAGAGTTAACTGCTTCTGTCCGACTCTCACCTGCTAAGATGCCGGGTGCCACCATAGCCCAGCCCGGAGGTGGCCGATGTCTAAAAGACAAGACTAAGCTTGGCAAGGCAACGCTTTGGATGGAAGGGGGCTGGATAGTCACCTCGGAAAACCCGGTCACCCCGGTGGCCAGAGGGCCAGGTGCCTCTTCCGGCACGTCCCAGCTTTTTAAAAGCTGGATTTGTTTGGAGTGGTGGAACATCTGCGCTG